CATGTCCAACTGTGGGGTTCACAGGCTAGCCCTGGTAGCTTGAAAAACAGACTAGGGAGACCAGCAGATGGCATAATGCTTATGTTGGTGGACTCCCACAGTCGACCACAGTTTGAGTCCCAAAACTGATGGCTAAAAACTCACACTGGGTGTGCGTGCGTGCATGCCCAAAATGCCGAGAGGAGGATGGAAGAGAAGGGACTGCAGCATGGCCAACCACCATGGGTGGTAATTTCTCTCTTTCTGTCTTTCTGGTAAGCACGTGCACCCTATTGCAAAAATTTCTCAAAAAAAAAAGGAAAGAAAGAAAAGAAAATACACTGAGTGCATGTGCCCATTTATCTGAAATCCAGACAGGATAGAGATGGAGAGGGGACTGTGGTGCGACAATGGCTTCTTAGGGAGTGATTTCTCCCTCTCCTTTTCCCTCTGTTTCTCTGGTAAATGCATATGCCCTCTGGCAATTACAGAAACCAAAACCAAAACCAAAAATGTATTCAAGTGGTATACACAGGGCCTGCAGATGGCATGGTAGTTAAGGTGGCTGGACCCCACACGGCCAACTGTGCAGCTGAGCCAGGACTGCAAGCTAGAAGACATGCTGAGCACATGTGCATGCTTGCCTAAAAGCCTGAGAGGAGAACAGATGAGAAGAGAGTGTGGCATGGTCATTCCCCCAGGAGTGCTTTCTCCAGACTGCACATACAATCTTTTTTTTTTTTTCCCCCAGTTTTTGTCTTAGGGCAGTGCACTGTGGGGAGTAGGGTTGGACAGACACATTGAGAGGGAAAGTGAGGAATCACCCCCCAGGGATATGGTCAGGCCACCATCCCATCTCCTCCATTCTCCTCCTAGGATCTGAAGCACCCATGCTCATATGCCTGGTGCGATTTTCAAGCCACCGTGTCTGGGACTCGAACTTTGGTTGGCCATGTGGGAGTCCAGAGACTAAACTGCTATGCCATCTGCTGGTCCATTTTTTTCCTTCGTTTTCAGAGGGTGCAAATACTCACTAGAGAGAGACAGAGACAGAGGGAGAGGAAAAAGCAACCCCCATGGGGAATGGTCATGCTGCAATCCCTTTTCCTCAGCTCTCCCTCGTTTCTGGATTTTGGGCAGGCATGTACACACCCGGTGTGTTTCTCAAGCAGCCAGGCCTGGTGTGATAGGCAGTTAGCTAGAAATGAGCAGGCAACCCTAAAATAATAGCAGAAGGATATCTGTCACATCAATCACAATTTATCAGGAGTGACGACCAGACCGTCTGAAAAACTCCTTCCTCCTACCCAATTATTCACACAGGAAGGTAGATCCCATTTTGCTTCTATAGTACCTAAGGAAGACACGTAGGGGTAGTTGTAAATTTTACTCTTATCATTCCTCACAAGTATAAAAGGACCCAACAGGACTTTTTGATTAACATCCTTATTCCCACTGGGGCAATAAACTAATTGGGCAGTTCATCATAAGAAGGATGCTCCTATCACTCAGGCTCACACTGGGCATGTGCAATTAGGTAATCAAATTCCTCAAATTCTTTACCTGGGAGAGAGATGCACAAGCACAGGAGAAAGCCTGTGATTTCAAAGAACATAGATACTTGGGGCCAGCAGATGGCATAATAGTTACATCGTTGGACTCCCACATAGTTGACTGAGGTTCAAGTAAAGACCTAGAGACTTTTAACTCATGGCAGGCACATGTGTGTGTGTGTGTGTGTGTGCCCAAAATCCCAAGAGGAGACTGGAAAAGGGAGTGCAGCATGGCCATCCCTCCTGGGGGCTGATTTCTTGCTTTCTCTCTCACTGTGTCTCTCACTGTGTCTCTCCATTTCTCTTTTTTTTTTTTTTTTTTGTTCTTTTCCTTTTTATTCTTTTTTTTTTTTTTTTTGGAGAGAGGGCGTGTGCGCTCGCCAGACAGACAGAGAGAGACATAGAGACAGAAAGCGAGAAATCACCCCCCAGGGGGGATGGCCACTACGCAATCCCTTCTCCTCCATTCTCCTCTCGGGATCTTGGGCACGCACACACACGCGTCCGGCGTGAGTTTTAAGCCACTGGGTCCGGGAGGTGAACCGCGGTCGACTACGTGGGAGTCCAGCGACATAGCCATTACGCTAACTGCTGGTTCCCATCTCTCACTGTGTCTCTCCATCTCTTGAGTGAGTACATGCACCCTATAGCAAAAATTTCTCTCTAAAAAAAAGAATACAGATACTATGACAGACCTCCCACTGTTGAATATTCATTATTACCTCTAGTGATAAAAATAACACCTGCCAGTTCCAAATGTAGTTGCTACCTAGCAACCTGCCCACCCGAAAGCCTTTGGGGTGTATATCTTTTCTAAGATCTTTCTTTCCTATTAATTCCCTTTTCTACCTGCTTTTTATTGTGTTTGTGGCTTTATTTTGTGCCTCAGGGCAGGACTCTAATTGTAGTTATCTGGACCTAAAGAACCAAGGATTTTACACAATGCAGTTCAACACTCTTGCATCCTACGGGGGGCTTGAACTGGATTTCAGCCATGTGAAATCTGGCTGCCTAAACCACTTGACTATGGAGCTGGCTCAAAGTATATAAATCTTTTGTGGGTTTTTTTGAGAGGTTTTTGCTATAGGGTGCATGCGTTCGCCAGAAAGACAGAGACAGAGAGTCAGGGAGACAGAAAGCGAGAAATCACTGGGGGCAGGGGGGGGTGTGTGGTCACACGCAGTCCCTTCTCCATTCTCCTCTCTGAATCTTGGGCACACACCCAGTGTGAGTTTAAGCTACTGGGTCTGGGACTTGAAGTGCAGTTGACTACATGGGAGTCCAGTGATGTAGCCATTATGCCATCTGCTGGTCCCAGTACATGCAATCTTTTTATTTTTTATTTTTTTGAGAGGTTTTTGCTATAGGGCACGTTCAAAGACACAGAGAGACAGAGAGACAGAAAAGAGAAATCATCCTGTTTGGGGATGGCCACACCACAATCCCTTCTCCTCCATTCTTCTCTCTGGATTATGGACACATATGCACACGCACCCGGTGTGAGTTTAAGCCACTGGGTCTGGTCGACAACATGGGAGTCCAGCGACATAGCCATTACACCAACTGCTGGTCCCCATACAATCTTAAAAGAGAAAAACCAGATCAAATACATGTGCAGCAATACTGGTGGAATCTAGGTTACCTATTCTTTTTATTCTTTTTAATTTTTTTAAAGCCTCTGGTCAGGGAGTCAAACCATGGAATTCAACCACCTTAACCACTACCCTGCAGGCTGCCCCATATTGTTATTATTACTTTTTATTTGTTTTTGTTATAGGGTGGCAATGAGAGAGAGAGAGAGAGAAATCATCCCCAGAGAGAGTATGGCCACCCTCAATCCCTGAATTGTCTTTTGAAAGATCCTTCCATTGCAGGGTGAAAGCAGTAGAGGAAAGAGCAAAGAGCTCAAGCGGGCAGACTTGCTCAGCTTGATGACTTGGTTCAGGGAAGAGGTAAGAAACTTGGAATAAGGCGGTGGGGATAAAACCAGTAAGACTGCACTAGACGCGGGGGATGAAGATACCAAAGGTCCTGGTTGACACCACGTGAGCAAGACTGGGGTGGGAGTCCAGGGATAGAGTTCTATTTGGACAGGTCCTTTTTGAGATCTGAGCCATGGGAGAGTAGACGGAGTATCAGCCGGAAGCTGGCTACGTAGAACAGGGATCGCTGGCGATCTGAGCTGTTCATATTTCCTGGGAAGGCATGCAGGGAGTAGCTAAGTGGAAGAGCACTCAGGAGCCCTGAGAGTTCTCCACTGCATTGGACCGTTACTCAAAAACCTAAAGTAACATCTAGGTTCCGTGGGTTAAGCGGAGCCCAGAAGTACAACTCCCGGAATCGACTACAACACAGGCCCCTGTTACCGCATCTGCCAGGCCGGCGACCTGCACTTTAAGCGGCTCAGCATCCCCCAAGCACCTCCAAGGCCGACGTGCACCTACGGAAAGCCGGAGGGAGGTGCGCGAGCCGGGGCCCCAGCACCGCTGCATGCTGGGACTTGTAGGCCCCCGACACGCGTGCTTCCGTAAGCCTCGGAGGTGCCAGACCCAGAGGTGCCGTTAGATGCGCCCTCCCCTGCGTGGACCCTTTGCAGCGGTCGTCCTAAGACGCAAATCTGACCTTGCTTTCTTCCTCGGAATCCTTTGTCTACAATAACTTCTCACCACCTGAAGGATAAATCCAGAGTCCTTCAGGTGACATTCAGTGTCCATTTCATCATAACCTCATCGCTTCACACTTGCTAATTATTTTGCAAGCCCATTCTGCAAGCCAAGGCAGCTAGCTGCCTTTGGGCCTCTCCCGGGCTTTCCCAGCCCTCGGAATTCGCCATCAACTAGGATCCCGGCAGCCTCTCCAGCGTGTATGATTCGTCCTAATCTAGCTGCGCGGATCGGGTCACTGATTCTCACCACGACCCACTGAGACGGACATTGTTACTTCCATTTTTGCAGTTGAGGTTATTTTGGCTCAGCGACGTTATGTAACACGAGCAGGGCCACGCCGGCCTGGACTGCTCCCCCGCAGCCTACGCGCTCCCCAGCAGCTAATTATTTTGCAAGCCCATATTACAAGCCAAGGCAGCTAGCTGCCTTTGGGCCTCTCCCGGGCTTTCCCAGCCCTCGGAATTCGCCATCAACTAGGATCCCGGCAGCCTCTCCAGCGTGTATGATTCGTCCTAATCTAGCTGCGCGGATCGGGTCACTGATTCTCACCACGACCCACTGAGACGGACATTGTTACTTCCATTTTTGCAGTTGAGGTTATTTTGGCTCAGCGACGTTATGTAACACGAGCAGGGCCACGCCGGCCTGGACTGCTCCCCCGCAGCCTACGCGCTCCCCAGCAGCCGCGGACACACCAGCTTTTCGCTCTCCCGCGGGCCACGCCCCCGGGGCGGGGCTCAGTGACGCCACCGCGTCCCATGGTGCCTCGCGCGCCGCGCTGTCATTGGCCGGGCGACGCGGCGGCTGTTTCAAATCGAGGCGCCCAGGCGTTTCAAATAGAGGCGCCCAGGACCCTGGGCAGAGACGGGGTTCGTAGTACCGCAGCTCGGACTGGTGCGGACCGACCCCACGGCCGGAGCACCGGGTGGAGAGCGGGACGCTGAGCTTGATCTGCCGTCGTCAGTCTTGCAGCCCCCGGCAGCGCCCAGGCCCGGCGCCCGCCCGACAGCGCAGGCCTCCGTCGCCCGGCTTAATTTTTGGCGGCAACGGTCATGGCGTCCCAGCCAAATTCTGCGAAGAAAGATGACAAGGGGAAGAACATCCAGGTGGTGGTGAGGTGCAGGTAAGGAGAGGTTGCGGGAGTTCGGAGCGCTGGGGCTTTGCTGCGGGGCTCCGTCCTGCGCGGTCGCGGAGGAGGATTTCGTTTGCATTTTCTGAGAGGACCAAACCTGTCTGTTTCCCGTGTTCTGATCAAAATGACCCCAGGTTGCTGTGAGTAGTAGATTAGTGCCTGTTTTTCAGGAGGAAAGTGGGATGTTCGAATTGGAGTTTCTAGTTAAACTGCCATTCAGGAGAGTTTGTTGGTCGTTTTTACTGCAAAGTGCTTTCTTTAGAGGTGAGGTCGCTGAAGATGAAGGCGTTACTTTTATGTGCTATGCTGTGCAGTTTGTCCGTTTGAAAGAAGGCTGCAGACGTACTCGGAGATGGCACTTAGGCTGGGGTTATCGTCATCATCTCCATCACCTGTGAACAAGTCATCAGTCATCTCTTGACTATTCTAAATGGCAGTATTTTCTTCCTCCCTACTAAACAAACGTCACCGTATGTAAACAGTAGGGATTAAGTTATAGAGTGAGTTTAGTTTTTAAAAGATCACAAGTGAAGCTCGGGTCGGTACGTTGTGCTGCAACTCGGTCTTCCCTTTCCTGGCTGCCGGTCTCTGCAGAGAGACCAGACGACTTTCTGGGGTGAGGGGGTGTGTTGGGCTGTTTGGCTCTCCCCTGACCGGTTCCAAATAACTCCTCAGTTTTGAAATGACCTAGTAGAGCAAGACATACCTGTAGAAACTGCTGCTTAATTAGAGACTGATTTATTCAACTTTTTAAATGCTCTGTACAGTACTGGCATGTGTTTCTGTTTCTGTTGTTAAAGGTTGCTCTTGCATCTTTTCTGTAAATTGAAAAGTAGAATTGTGTCCTGGGAAAGTTCATGGAAAATAGGTACTATTATGTAAAAAACAATACATGGATTTCTTTTTTCTTTTTTGGCAAGCCGATTTTTATTATGTCTTCATTTCTTGCATTTGAAGTACTCTTCGATGACGTCTCTGGCCTGAGATTCCTTGTCATAGCGCTTAACTACTACACAGCTGCAACCAACCACTTCACGGGGTATTCCCTCTGTCAATTTTACAGAGGCCTACCCATTCTCCTAGTTTCTTGTTGTTATCAACCTTAATCAGGTTGATTTGGTGTACCGCACAAAGGGCCTCCACCAACTTGACCTACATAGGTTCATTACAGTTGCATGCAAGCACACGCTGGTGGGCTTGGCGCTTGTCTAAGGCTTTGGGCTTCGCGAATTCCACGTGCTAGGCCATTGTGGATGAGGGCGGTCTTCAGCACCTCTTGTAAAGCAGTATAAATGTCCATTACACCTCCAGCTTCAATGCCTACCTCTGCCCTGGCCCTGGCGGTGGATTACAGGTGGAGCTGAATCTTGAACACCCCAGCCTCCGCCTCCGAGCAACCCGGTGGCGGCAGGGAAAGAGCAAAAACAATACATGGATTTCAAAAAGAATTTTTTTTGCACTAAAATAAACTTATACTTTAATTTCACTTTTCTACCAGTTTCTTGAAGCCCTCTCGTATTTAAAAATTAAAAGGTATTTTTGAAACTTGTATCAACAGGCTTTTTTAGTTATTGTATCTAAGCTCTGGTGATTTGAAATGTAGATATCAAAGACATGATGACTAGATTTCTTCATTAGGTGTAAAAGGAGAACTTTGGTGGTAACCTAAAGTCTAGCCAATGACCAGATGCATTCTGGGGCTTCTGTTAGTAGTTACTTCTTTGGGTAAGTTTTTGAAAAATCAGCAGTGCATATGACAAATGCAAATGTTAGAATGATTTTGGTTGTTTCAATAAAGCCAAAAAAGCCACATTCCCAACATCAGTGCAGTCAGTATTATGTTTTCTGTGTGCACTTATTTTTTTATTGCTAGTTACAAAATATTTCAGACATATAAAATGTTATAAGGAACAATGTATGAATGTTTGTGTAGCCATCACCAAGATTAAGAAACAATCTTTATAGCTAAACCACCTGTGTACACCCCTGCCTGCGCCCACAGTTAACCATTAGCTTGAACTCATACGTTTCAAGCTTTGCCTCAGAGGACATTTCTTCTTTATCTCCAATGAATGGTGCTTAGGTTATGTCTAACAGTTACGGTGATGTTAGTAGAGATTTTTCAGTTTAGCCTTTTCTCTTTCAGATAGTCTTTCTAGGTGGGAATCTGTCATTAAGCTTTACTAGATAAGTAACTGTAAGTTATGAGGCCCTTAGGATTTGGTAATTCTTTTCTGGGCTCAGATAAAGTAATTTATGTTGTTTAAATACCTCAGGTTTTGATGGCCACATGTGATCTCTGTTACATATTCTTCTCTGATTTTTTATTTTTATATTTCCAATGTTTTTGGCACTGTTTAAAACTGTAAAATCCTTGGGAACCAGCAGTTAGCGTAATGGCTATGTTGCTGGACTCCCACGTAGTCGACCCCGGTTCGCCTCCCCGACCTGTGGCTTAAAACTCAGGCCGGGCGCATGTGCGTGTGTGCCCAAGATCCCGAGAGGAGAATGGAGGAGAAGGGATTGCGTAGTGGCCATCCCCCCTGGGGGGTGATTTCTCGCTTTCTGTCTCTATGTCTCTCTCTGGTGAGCACACGCGCCCTGTAGCGAAAACCTCTCCCCCCACCCCCCCACAAAAAAACTGTAAAATCCTTGTTAGATTGTTAGTAGAGGAAAAGCAAGATTTGACCCATAATACTAGCTACTGACTCTGATCCCCCCTCTTACTGCTCCTCGTTTTCTGAATTTTAAAAAATATGTTCATATACATATATAAAATTTACCATCTTAACCATCTTTTTAAAAAAGAATTATCTTATTTAGCTTTATTTATTCATTCATCTTAGCCACTTTTTTTTTTTTGAGAGGTTCTTGCTGTAGGGCGTGTGTGCTCTCCAGAGAGACAGAGAGATGGAAAGTGAGAAATCACTCCCCAGGGGAGATAGCCATGCTGTAATCCCTTCTCCAGGAATCTTGGACATGCATGCACATGTGCCCAGCATGAGTTTCAGCCTCCGGGTCTGGGACTCGAATCAGGGTCGAATACATGGGAGTCCATCAGCATAGCCATTAAGCCAACTGCTGGTCCCGCATCTTAGCCACTTTTAAGTATACAGTTGAGTGGTGTGGTATTAAATACATTCATAATCTACAACCATAACCAACCATCTTTAAAACTCATCTTTAAAAACTGAAATGCCCATTAAACAATAACTCCCTATTGTCCTCTCTCTCCAACTCTGACCACATCCCATTGTCTATGTCTATTGGTTTTTGAGTAACTTATTTCACTTAGCATAATGTCCTCAAGGTTCATTTAACCTGTACAGTATATGTCAGAATTTACTTTCTTTTTAAGGCTGAATAATATTCCATTTTATGTACATAGCACATTTTGCTTACCCAGTCATCTGTTGCTGCTTCTGTGTTTTAGCCATTGTAAATAATACTGCTATGAGCATGGGTGTATAAATATCTTTTTAATATCCTGTTTTCAGTTTTGGGGGAGTATTTACACAGCAGTGGAATTGCCCTATCATATGACAATTCTATTTTTTAACTTTTTCAGGAACAAACATACAAATTTCCACAGTGTCTGTATCATTTCACATTCCCAACATCACTACAAAAGACTTCT